TATATCTTGTGCCGATATGGGGAATTTTGAGATATTCCTAGATAATCAGCTGTCATTCTACCGTAATGGACACTCGTGAAATAGGGTATATAATTGGCGAACATGGTCTATGTAGATAGTATATACCTATAGGCTCAAATGCAAAAGTCTAGAGTTGTGACGCCACACGTTCCACGAGATGATAACGATAAATTAGCGAATAATTGAATTATTTTAGTAAAGGAATAATTTCACAGTACGAATACGAGTAGCGCCACGCCGTCTTGTGAAAACAAATATTCGATAGATCATAGGCTTTCAGACAGCAAACAGTGTGATAACGGCAGGGGCGTAGCTATCCTAAGACAAACCGGGGCAGTGCCCCGGTGCCCCGGTTTATAGGGAGCCCCGGCCATGCGCCTCAAAAAAATTGTTTTTAAGCGCCGATCAGCAATAAATTCATTAAGTGCTAATATAACCTAGGTATACTAGAAAGAAAAATAAATAATAAATATAATGATAAATAATGTTTATTTTTTAAACCGCTACATATTTGAGGAAAACGCTTGCGTTCCTAAATGTATGTAGCGATAATCCGTCGGACCGCGACGGGCTTGGCACCACCGCCTTAATATTACGTCTCGTCTTTGGGGATTCCCCGATCTATTGTTTTGATGATTTTAACTACCCAGCGTGCCCTATGTGATATTGATATGTGTCTCTGTATGTGTCGTAGTCGTGCCGTGGTGCCCGGCGTGGTGTAAAATACCATTACTATATTTGTATTGTGACTATTGTGTCTCGTTATAAGGTACCTATTAGAAAAAAAGGTAAGTGTAAGTTATATTACTTAGTGAATAAATGGCTCAATTTTGATTTGTGGGTAATTTTGTTTGTAAATGTACATTTGTCCATTACCTTGCTGAGTAAAGGCGAACGCAGAATTTCCGTAACGTAAGACTTAAGAGTTAAATTTCATTTAAGACAGATTAAGACTTACCGCAAGGAATTATACAGAATTCTGATCAGGTGATTTATAAAGCATAGTCAAGACTTAAGCCTTAAGGCATGAGAAATTACGTTACAGCTTAAGGCTTAAGTCTGGGCTTAAGTCTTATGTTACGGAAACTCTTCAGGCACCTTAAACCCGACACTAAATTCGAAAAGCTTCTTAAAGACTAAAAATGATCTATTGACTGTTTCAAAAATATCGACTAATTTTTTTTTTCTTAAGTATATAGTATATCGAACAAATTGTTAGAAATGACGAAAAAAATCCTGTAAAAGTTACAGCTCTTTAACATTTCTTCATTAACATGGGAAAAAAATTGTTTTCAACTTTTGAATTTTTTTCTCATTACTAAATTATCATACGGATGAGTTCATAGTTTGCTCTTATAGGGAATTGAATGCTTTACAAAAAAGGTCTCTTACAATTTTCCGATAAACCTACTCGTTAAAAAGTCTTTCGAGGGAAATTGAAATTTTCGATGCGGCACCACTTAATATTAATATTAAGAGCTGTTACTTTTACAGGATTTTTTTTTCTTCATTTCTAACAATATTTTCGACGTACTTGAGAGAAAAAAATAGACGATTTTTTTGAAACAGTCTAATTGATACACAACTATCGAACTATTTAATGAATTTAAAAATGGTTGTGTATTCTTCTCTTTGCAGAATTAGCAGATTGCGGAACAAAACGCAAAAAAAATAAAAATGGAAGATAAGCGGAAATATCAGTCTGGAGCACAGAAACGAAAATTGAAATTAGAAAAAGAGGAAAAATTAAAAAAGCATGCTGAAAAAGAACAAGTAACTATGCAAAATATTCTTTTTTTGGTTCAAGTACTGATAGATGGGATCTTTTAGCTTCTTTTACCAGTGAATCCAGAACAACTTTAAAAACATTAAATCCAACTCGTTGGCCAGGAAGGATATTGTCTATTAGTGCTGTCAAACTTCGTTATCTTGATATTATTAAATCTTTAACAGAAATAGAGTTACAGTCTCATAAAAAAGAAGAAAGAGAAGAAGCTTCTTCCATTAAAAAACAAATGTGTTGCTTTGAATTTGTATTTATTTCAACAATGTTGTATAAAATCTTTACCCAGGTTAACTTCGCCTCAAAGGTCCTTCAAAAGAAAAATATTGATTTAAGTGAATCTGTGACTGTTTTAGAACAAGTAGAAAAGAACCTTACTGACTTAAGATCTTCTTAGGAAATTTTAATGATTGAAGCTACGGAACTGGCTAACAAATTGAATATTCAACCGGAATTCAGGCAAAAACATCAACCGAAAGTTAAAAAACACTTTGACGAACTCTTAAGTGATTACAGATTTAATAATAGTCAAATTTTATTTAAAATAAATGTTTTTAATGTTGTTATGAACCGTGTTCTGACACAGATTTCTAATAGATTTAGGAACATGAAAAAAATTAATAAATTGTTTGATTTACTTTTTCCAAAAATTATATTAAGTTGCGATGAAACATCCATTAAAAATAAATGTACAGCCATTTATAACAAATATCCTGAAATATTTGATTTAAATAATTTAATATTTCAGTATACCAATTTGTTAAATGTTTGTAAAATAGACCTTAAGAATGATCTATCAATTAAGGAATATTTCAATATAATTTTAAGTAAGTATGGGGTACTTGAAAGCGACTTAAGTGAAGTTTACTTAATGTTCCTTTTATTTTTTACGTTGCCTGTAACTACTGCATTTGTTGAAAGATCATTTAACAAGCTAAAACTTGTAAAAAACTATATTAGGTCTACTACAGGCCGGATTAGATTAAGCGATCTTGCTTTACTCTCTATAGAGAATGAAGAAGCCCAAAACCTTGATATAAATGATATTATCAACGAATTTGCAAATAGAAAAGCAAAAAAAAGGGATTTTTAATTTTATTTTTGCTTAATTTTTTACTTGTGTTATTTCATTATTTTAATTTGTGTTACTTATTGTTTTTATGACAATAAACAATTTTTTTATTATAACATATTTTTTATTCTTAAACATACTCATGAGGGCCCCCAAAAAATGTTTGCCCCGGGGCCCCATGACTTCTAGCTATGCCACTGGATAACGGTCGCCAAAAGACACCCGAAATGCTCAGATGTGTCATCGAAAACGTAAATTCCAGACTGGACTACATTGACATGCTGATTGATAGACGAAATTATGAAAAAAAACGAATAAATCGGATGATCAGATTCCGGAGTCGTCTTAATGAAGTAACGCCTCATTCTAGAAAATTCACAAAACCATCTGTGATCTGCATGAAATCTCGGTTTCTGGTAAAGTCGGGTGCGTAGATTCTGAATCCGCTGTTACTTTGGTGCTCCAGACACTAGGTTCGGACCCACATAAGTTCAAAACGGTTTGATGATCATAGTCGCAGTTAAGCGAATGAAATTATTGCGCATAAAGGACGTATTTTGATATCCCAAGGGGGGTGCTGAGAATCCGGCTTGACCATAATTTTTTCATATTAATAGTCTATTCATCCAAGAAAGACATTAAAGTAAAACAATTACGAGCGGGTGTTCAGTGCGTGATGAGCACCTTGATGTATTCCCAGAAACAAAAAACAAGATGTTAATAATCAGAATCAGTTGAGCCTATACAGGGTGTCCGCAAAGTTGGGGTTTTCCTTTTCAGAAACAACTACCCTTGAAATAACAAAGGTAATGTGTAGTGAAACGAGGGCGACCAAGTAAAAAAAAATAAAGGAAAAGTACTCACTCTCCAGTTGACGATAAAGGCTAAGTACGTCTCTGGCCGAAATCATACCGCTCCAACAGAAAATGAAATCAGCTGATGCGCTACCGAGCAGACGCAGGCAAACAAGGAAGGCAAAATGTTGCGTAAAAAGTTTAGATATTGCATCCCGTCCAATCGATTTGGGAGAATAAATGGTCCAATGAGCATACCGTTCACCATGCCAGCCCAAACATTCACCGAAAATGTTTGTTGAAAATGTGCCCGACGGACAGCGTGCGGATTTTCTACTGACCAAACATGAGTGTTGCGAAAGTTATTCACCCCATTACGCGTGAACGTAGATTCGTCTGTTACCAATATGCACTTCAAAAAGTCCGGATTATTGTCATGTTGATGCAACAACCACTCACAAAACCGCACTCTTGCTGGAACATCGTCAGGTTGAAGGGCTTGTACACGTTGTACGTGAAACGGATACAGCCCCTCTTCACGCAGCGTTTGCCACACTCTAGTTTTTGATACTTGCACTTCTCTAGCCACGTCTCTAGTGCTTGTTGTTTTTTGAAACGCAATCGATTATACGGGTTCGTTTACCTCTACACGCGTGTCCGTAACCGTCGGTTGAAGGTTGCATTCTGACCTGACACACTGACCCCGACCCAGTTCTGTCGTCGGGTTGAGCTAGTGTCCTAGTACCACTTGGGGATGTCGCGGCTACAGGACGGTATTCAGATATTTTTGATGTTGCAGAGCTCTTTATCTCGGTTCCCTTAAGACATTGGTGTATATGGTACTAAGAAAAATTGCTTATGTTTTCAAGATCTACACGTCGTGTAAAGGAAAACCCCATCTTTGCGGACACCCTGTATACAGGACCAATGCCAAACCAGGAAGGTGGAGTGGAAGACGACGTGGCGATGCATGCAGCCTCACCGGCCGTAAGTGTTAGTTTGACGTTCTGGAGTCCGTATGCGTGAACATGTTTGGGTTTCTTCAACACCTCCCATCCCCCCTCCCCCTGCCCATCCATATTTCCTGGGTGAATCAGTTCCGTAGATTGTAAATACAATAAAAAATGGGCGCTATAACTGATACTATATCAGTATGTAATTGCAAAATTTTGATACTGTGAAAGAGCGCATAATACAGTCTTGTGTGGGTGTCAATTAATACACGAGCGTTAAAATAATTGCATACCGTAAATTTTTAAATATATGTGAGGATGTTCTAAGATAAAATATAATAAATTAGCATATTTATACGATTTACCATGAAAACAAATTATCATATAAGCTCAAGGATTTCAAGATTTTTAATACATCATACTGAAACGAAGATTTTATGAGAAATAATATCATTATATTTACTTACAACTCCAAACAGCATACGTCGCAGTGAGTTGAGATGTTCAAGTTTAAATTATTATTAATTTACGCTATTGCTGTAAGTTTAGTGTACAGTTTTCCTGCTGATAATGAATATCGAAATGAATATAGTGCATGGAATAACTATAAGGTGAGTGCAACAAAAGTAAAACAACTATCACGCATGTTCTGAGTTGACAGAGAAGCATCATTATTAAATTTCGTTTGTGATGTTATCTCAAGTGAAATGTCATTTTGATTACATTGCCTCAGCAATAAAAACTTAAACAATTGTATCATACATTACTATAAATGTCTCTTACAAATTTTGACTTTCTCGTTTTTACGCGCTCTGGCGTATTTAACCCTCGTGTTTATTGGACGAAAAAATTACCCTAGACAGCCCTTAGACTGCCTATCTACCTAGCGTGTTTTCAATTCTCATGTACGCCTCGGAAAACAACCACCAGCGCGAGACGTTCAAAGCTGCACGCTCCTATTGGCCAGCGGGCTATAAATGCCGGGCCAGGTAGCGACAAGCGAAAAAAGGCGAGTAATTGTGTTTGTTTTGACAGGTTTAAGTAGAGTCCAGATACTTTGCCTTGACTGTTTTTGAAACTTTATGTTTCACTGGACTAAACATGAAATCACAGATGAAGAATTGAAATATTTACTGGAGTTTCTTCTCTCTCGACTACTGAGGAAGTATTTTAATTGCGAAAAACGTCGAAAATGAGATATTTTTTTGGATGTTATAAACACGTACATAATGTAAAACCATGCCAGTCATGTCCGTCGGTCTGTCCGCTAATCCCCATCACAAGGTTGCTACTATGCTAAGGACAAAACACCTTTGAAGTTTGTGAAAATCGGTCCAGTGGCGGCGGCACTGCGGGCAAACAACGGAAACAATAAAAATCAAACATCGCTTTTTGATGTTTTCGATGTTTTAGATGCTTCTGATCATTTTCTGATTTTTTTTAGGGGTTATAAGTTAGGTATAGGGGTTGTAGGAGGTGGGGAAGGATATAACTCAATTTTTTGACGTTAGTATATGTATTCGCTTCCGACCACGGTTATAAACCGCACCATACACAATATTAGGTCTAACTTTTAACGACCTGACCGATTAATATTAATTAATAATTAAGTCCTTTCGATTCAAGCATATGCGCTTAGTTTTAGTTGCTCACCCACACGTTCACCCCCCATAACTTTAAACTGATAAACCAATTTTCATCAGTTATACAAATAGCTAAATCCATCTCGACAGAAAAGACTTCCGATTAAAAAAACGCACCCAAATTGGACATGTACACACATATACACAAGTTAAACCCTATAACACCTCTCCTTTTTGCGTCGGTTAAAAATAGAACGTCATCCATCAGACACGAAAATGTAAGATATTAATGGACTTACATCGATATTTACTCAATTTCAGACGGACTACAGTAAGCAGTACGATTCACCAAACGAAGAAGCAAGACGCCAGGGAATTTTCAACGACAATTTAGCGTTCATTGAAGATCACAACAGAAGATATCAAAATGGTGAAGTTGGCTACAAACTTGCAGTTAACGATCTTGCTGATCTATCTCACGATGAATACAGGCGAACCCGACTTGGACTTCTCGGATAAAATTACCAATATAATGATTTGTAATTAAGATAGTGCCAAGCGACATTTTGTACTATATATAAAGTATCACAGCGCTCCCTAAATTGTACGATAAAAATAAAATTAGTTCTTGTAATCATCATACATTTCTCTTTGAAAGATGACTACCTGTCTCGTGAGTGGTTTGAATATCTGTTCTTTCTCTATTTCATACATCACATAACAAATTTTCGAACGTCAATTGTAGGGCAACTCATTATCAAAAAGTTGTCTGTTCACTATACAAGACTTCGAAGTTGAGTCATTTATTTTAACAGTGAGTAGATCTGATCAAAAGAAATGTTTTTTTCCTTTAACATTTTTCTGGTAAAATTAAATTAACAAAGTTATAGCCCTTTAGAAGTTTGAGTACCGCCCTGTCTCAATAATAATATTATATGCTCGTGTTTGGCGACAACGGATATAATCCGCCTGACCGGTTCATCGCATCGGAAACAAAAAAGCGAAAGAATTTGAAACGTTTATCACGATGTTTTTCGTCAGTCGGTAACGCGTGAGTGAATAGTGGTGTTTGTTGCGTGGCACATGTTTACGAAAATGCTGAACTTGTGGACATGATTCTTATTTACGGGGGGGCAGTCTTTACAAAATGCTGCCGGATGCATCACGGATTTATGCGAATCGGTTTCCCAATCGAGTGCAACCAACCCCTCGTGCCTTTTTTAATGTAGTACAAAGGGCTCGTGAATCAGGTGACTTAAGACCTCACAGGTGAGGGCATGCCGGTGCTCCAAGACCGCACGATCAAATACAGGTCCGCACTGAAATACTTGTCGGGAGGATACTTTATTAAACAAGGTAACATTTCTTTTTTATTTTTTTTTATTTTTACACACATATGTTGGTTTATCTTCCTTCTACAATCATTATCTGAAAATTAATGACTCAACTTCAAACTCACTCTGTATGTATAAAAAAGGCGTCAAGTAGATCGACTGTGGACTTCCCACGCATTGAGGAAGTTTCCTATGTTTTTGAAACACACGTAAAATGATATTCTGATAGTAAAGTAAAGTACGGCACTGACATTTTTTTGAATATCTTAAAAAATGACAAAGTTACATTCCCAGAAGTTTCTTATTTGTATAATTATCTTGTTAGAGTGTGAGACTGAGTGATGACGTCGCATGACACCAGCTAACATCGCTACCTAGGTGTACAAATACAGGCGTATCAGCTCCAGAAAAAAGCATATTTACCTGTGCTATAACATAGAGGGATTAGAAGAAAGTGGTGCTGAGTAATGAACGAGGAACGATAAAAAGGAAATATACTAAGTGACATATAAATCCGAACACCCAGTTTAAATGGTTTTATTTTAATAAAATTTTGTATAAGTACTTAATGAAGCATAATAAGTAAATGATAGAAATTTCAAAATGATTGCACTGCTTTAAAGCCCTTTGACCTTTAATAATGTGTGGATGCACCATGATGTGCTACGCATTCTCCAACGCGCCTAGGCATGTTTCTGATCAGGTGGTCAATGTCCTCCTGTGGTATCTCATTCCAGGTAACCACCAACTCCTCTCGAAGTGCTTCTAGAGTCTGAGGAGGAAATTGAGCAATCTCCTACCCATCATATCCCACACGTGCTCAATTGGGGATAAGTCGGGAGATCTTGGTGGCCCTGGTAACAATGTGACATCATTATGTTGAAAGAAGTCTATTGTGACTCTTGCAACATGTGGTCGGGCATTATCTTGTTGGAAAGTTGGATCTGCCAGGGTGTCAAGATAGGGTAAAAGATGGGGTTCTAGAACTTCGTGGATATAACGCTGCGCGTTCATGTTACCTCTGATGATGATTAAAGGTGACCTGGAACCATAAGCTATAGCACCCCAAACCATAACTCCAACAGTGTGATGAACATGTCTTTCAACAAAAAACTGTGGATTCCTCCTTTCACCACGTCGCCTTCTAACCCTGGCACGACCATCGTGCATGCCTGAACAAAATCGAGACTCGTCACTAAAGACAATACTGTTCCATTCCTGATCCCAGAGTGACCGTTGTCTGCACCACTCAAGGCGATTACGTCGGTGTGGCCGGTATGAAAACAAGCCAAAACTTCTCATTCGTCGGTAAACACTTCGCATGCCAATAGGTCTTCCGTGTTCTGCAAACCATTCATTTGCAATGGACCTGGTAGTGGAGAAACGGTCCCTCAAGGCCAATAATCTTAGGCGGCGATCTTCACGGTCTGTTGTTCTACGGCGGCGTCCAGTGCCCCTTGCTCTTTGCGTACGGCCTTCTCGAAGCCATGCCTGACAACACCTAACCACAGTGTCTACACTTCTTTGCACTCTAACTGCAATTGCCCGAAAAGAAAGTCCAGCTTCCCGAAGTCCCACTATACGGCCCCTATCAAACTCACTAAGTTGACGAAATCGTACAGGTCTCCGTACTCTAGGTATCGTAACCGATCGTAAAGGATGTCAAGAACCAAAATCCGCCAACGTTGATTCTTTACTGCGGCTGAAATATTAATTTTTAGAGCGTTAGTGAAATAAAAAAAAAGCAGTATAAAAACCGGAATGTCCAACTGATAAGGCTGAAAATTTGTTCACTTGTTATTTACAGTAAGATAAATACATTCACCAACTTTTATTAAAATAAAACCATTTAAACTGGGTGTTCGGATTTATATGTCACTTAGTATATCATTGTACTGGTGTAAGTATCATTTTGATCTTAGCAGGTATTTAGTTAATATGGTAAAAAGGATCAGAATAAATAATCGTGTATGTGCCTATTATAATGGATAAATAACCTAATTGGTGTAAACGAAACCGGAGATGGATTTGATAATTACTTTTCTTTCGAGATAATGTGAATATTGTTATAGTGATTATGTTATGGCTGAAGAGGGAATATTGCTTGAACCAAGTCTGTGTTGACGTAGAAATATATAGGCATGGTTCATGAATGAAAAACCTGGCCAATAGTGCAAAAAATGTATAATCGAACAGTGTATCACGTTTTTAAATAATTAGCTGCGACCCTGAAAACATCTAAAACTTAAATTTGAGCTCAATCAAAACATTTTTGGCAAAGATGTACACCATATTAAATCCGTCATTTTGATCTTTGACAAGTTGATATTATATTCGTTATCAGCTACCTGGATATTTTTATAAAATTTAGTGAATCTTTCTAATTTTGGCCGTTTTGAAGAACTGTGGCGTCGGCGTCGGTCGAGTCTGAGCTTATTTGTAAATATTAATGCGGGCAAAAGTATAAATGTTTCACATATATTTCAACATTAACATTTTTATTTTCTCGTTTTCCCCCTTAGCTCAGCAGCCATTAGATCGATTTTCACAACTACAAAGCTTTTTCCTCCTTGGCATGGTAGTAACCTTGTGTAAAAATTTTATAATCTACCGTACCTATACTTATTCAATTTTTGCTTCAATTTTCTCGACTTGAAATGTAGATGTTTGAATCACTGCCTTTTATTTCAGTAGAGAAATTAAGATTTTTCAACAACCAGCAACAAACGTCATAATGGTTCCTACTTTAAAGAAAAGCCAATTAATCATATTCGATTCGCATACTCTCCAGGAGGAGCAATAGGATAATGTGCTATAGCAGAACACGCGATTAAATATATGAATGAAAATTAACAAATGTTGCTGTTGATTATTATTGAATGAAAAAAGTTTGAAGACCTTAGATTTTCAGGAAAAAGTCTCATTATTGTAGGTAAGAAACTTGGAAACTATGCAACGACAGAGCATTTTAGCACCTCCAAATCTATCAAACAAGTATTTTTTACGTATTGTTTCGCTATGCTTCAGATTATAGTTTAATGACATTTTTTTATTTTTACTAACTACATACTTTTGCGTCATCCAGTTTGGGCTACACTGAGACTAGACAGTGGCAAATAGGCTTACAACTAGATTAAACACACTATACAGTTAAATATTCACCTCGAATTAAAAAATGTCCTCCATCACAATGAGTATCCATAGGAAGTAAAATTAAAGATAAAGTGATCCTTCCGTCGCTCGTAAACATTAAACATATATATTGTTATACTAGAATAAATATTGTACACACCCACAATTTTTTGATATTATTTATTTGTAATGACGATGGTGATACATTTCATCATCTATGTAGTATAATATTATTTTTTAATTCAAATTAATCCATTCTATGCAATTTGATTTTGTACATAGGTGTATCTATAGAGATACTTATCGTATAAGCATCTAAAATATCTTCTGAAATTGCTATGCTTGTCCTAATACAACCGAGATCAAATGTCTGTCGAATATAAATTGTAAACAGCTGAACACTCATTCGGAAAAATTTGTTCTAAAGGCGGATATGAAATGAAGCTATATTTTTTACGCTAGGGAAGCAGGAACTAAGTCTATGATGCAATTGATCAATACTAGAAAATGTATTTGAGGGGCTGGTTCAAAGCTCATTCGGAATAAGGCTTTATAAAACTTCATCTGGAAACTACAGTTTTGAACAATGAAAGCAAGAATCGTAATTCTGTATTTGATGTTTTCACTTGTATCATTTTCAACAGATTTGGCACAAAAATGGAAAGACTACAAGGTAAGTTGGGTTAATATTTTTATTTTCATATTCATTATCGTTACGCCCAGATTCATGGTATATTTTTTCTTATCGGAAATGCTGGAAAATTGATCATTTTAAACTATTCTAGTTCTATAATATTAATCAAGTAGAGGGAACTGTTAGAAATGGCGTTTTTTGCGGCTCGGGGAATGAATTCAACCCAGTGAAAACTATTGTTTATGGTTAGAAAAACACTTTTGAAAAACCGAAAAGTGCGGGAAAATCTAATGCACCGTTCCTGAAGTACATTAATGACCCCCTATCTAATATTAAATTATTTAATCAATTCAGCATGGAAATGCTAATAATTCAAAGACAAACAAGAAATGATTCTATGATGGTTGATACTTATTGGAGTCATTTAATATAAAAAATATGTTATATGTATACAGAATTACCCCTAATAGGGGGTAAAAAATACGTAAAAAACTGGTGAACAGTACTATTAGTTATGGTTAATGTGTGGGCTACCTAGGGGTTTGTGAATGTGTATTCCTAAGAACCAATGTAATTCAGAAAAGAGTGGAGTCGAAAGTTCTTTAAAAAAAATAATGTACGCCAAACCACAACCAGGCTAAAATACCCACCCACCTAATCTTGACAACAGAAAGATTAAATGCTT